CGGTTAAGCAATAAACGTACGTTTGCTCCAAAAAGTGCTAAGATCGCAGGCGGAAAGGAACGCCTCGTCTTTGAACCAGTCCGGATGAGGGACCCAAAACTTAGGGACAATGACTTGTGTCCATCATCCAGTGACAGGGTAGTCTTCTTAAAAAGGCCCGGCTCCATTATTTGATCCCAAGACCTCTCTGGTATCTTGAGGAGGGCGCATTTCTTTCCCAATAGAGTCGGGTGCTTATTGTAGCGACGCAGCCGGTAGTTCACAGCCGGAGATGGGGAAGAGACCATATAAAATCTTCTCTTCCAACTAGTCCACTTAGACGGCTTCTCCAGCGTCATCATGTACTCCAGATGCGTGGTCAATGTGTACCACGCATTCCAACCGCCTAGGGCACGGCTAAGATATTGCATATGTGCAAACGCCTCCCAGCTAGGCGTAATGTCCTGCTTTTCACAGGCGACTATGTACCCTAAAATGTTCACCCAAGAGTTGGGTGTGAGCTGATAGACGCCAAGGTCGTAACCCTTAGAATGGCTTTGAATGTCGCCTCGTAGCAGCCGAAGTAATTATCGGCGTGATCCAAGTCATCATCCCAGACGATGGATGCATCTACGGGTGGAACGACGACCTCCCATCCGGCCCCTACCGGACGCTTCTCCAAAAATACCGGGAAGGTCGCCTTTAAAGTCACAACGTCCAGGGCGCTCATGTGCGTCTCTATCGGGTTAATTATTAAAGGCCAATTGTATGCCTCCTCATCCTCTTGAGGAGCATCCGGCTCCATCATAAACTCAGTGGAGTCGATTTGCTGGACAGTCTCCTCACCGTCTGAGCTCCCGGAGTCCTCAAGAATCTCATCTCCGGGCGTGCTAGGTACGCCCGGTTGGTCATAAAGAGAATCATCAACCGGAGTTCTGGCAACTAGTACTCGGGGTCAACAACCGTTTTCCTTGTCCGAGCCATTCTGTCCTGCACATGAACAGAGACGGTCGGATTCGTAGAAGAGTAAGGGTGGTCCAAACACCCCCAGACGGCATCCCCAGTCCTAGATTCAGCTGTGTCCGGTCACGGTTGACAACTGCCCTAGGCTGTGCCGTGTGTGTGTTGGGTGAGTCCATTATTCTCTAACAACCTATATAGCCAGGAAAAACTCAAAAAGTTACAAGGGGCAGAGACGGTACCTTGAAGTTGTGAAAAACTTGGAAGGAGGTTGACTCCTTTAAGCTAGCAGGCGGATCTTTGATTTGTTGCTTGAAGATACCCCTTACGGCGCCCGGATGTATCCCTTTGAAGAGCAACTGAAGTTTGTAAAAGACTCAACCGTTTTCTCAGAATGTGACTTGAAGATACCACAGGCGGAAGAGACCGGCTGTGTGTTTTGGAAGCTAGACAAAAACAAAATAAAAAAAAAATAATACGAATGGTCAGACATTTTTAAAGAAAATTGCTCAAAGATGCCCCAGACGGTATAAGACCAGCTGTGGGTCTATTGAATGCAGTTTTTGAAGATTGCTTAAAGATGCCCTAGGCGGTATAAGACCGGCTGTGGGTCTATTGAATGCAATTTTTGAAGATTGCTTAAAGATGCCCCATGCGGTGTAAGACCGGCTGTGGTTCTATTGAAATCAAGAAGAGAAAATTGACTAAATCAGACGGTACCTTAGTGAGTTGATCAAAGAAGCACTCAACCGGTATCCGGACGTGTCTGAATCAAAGGAGCTGGTTGAACGCAAGAGCAGCCGGTGTCAGAGCTTTTTTCTCTTAAGGAACTTTTTTGTTAAAAATTTTCAAAGTATGGAATGAGAGGAGGAAGCCTCCCATTTATAGGAGAGGAGGCAGAAGGCGAATCGTCACCTCCCCCTCCAATTCAAATTTGAAATTCGAATTCAAAAAAAAATGGAGGAAAGGAGACGAACAATCACCTTCCTAGAATGTGACACATGTCACAGGTGCCACGTGGCAAGCCACATCAAACCTGTGAGGGGCAAATGTTTGGGGTAAAATACCCTATGCCACGTGGCCTAATAGCAAGCTGACACGTGTCAGCCCTAGAGAGGTCCAATGGGATCCAATCGGATGCTGACACGTGGCATTGTAACCCTAATAGGGGAGCAGATCTTCCTCTACTATAAATAAGGAAACTCCTCATTTATTATTCATTCAGAAACACTCATAAATACAAACACAAAAATCGAGCAATATTAATTGCAGAATTCTCTCTGAATCAGAGAGAAAATCCATTTACTTTCCGCACTTTATTACATCCGGAGACGTTCTAACTTGATCGTCAGAGGCGGAACTCCACCCAACCGGAGTTTCGTGGTTTTGCAGATACAGACGGTCGGCTCACATTCCCAGAATTGTAACTCTCCTGAGGGACTCCAAAAACCCCGAAACAAGTCTATTTTACAGTGGTCAAAATTCAATTCAAGAATTACACACTTGGTTGAATTGGGACTCATTTATTTATATTAAGCCTCTGTTTCTCGTATGCTTGTTTTATTTTTTGTTTTTAAAGTTTTAGATTCATGCTTGGACGATGTTTATTTACCTAAGTTTGTTGGTGTTTGTCATCATCAAAAAGGGGGAATATTGTTGACCCTTATGGTTTTGATGAACAAACTGACAAACTTGACTTATGAATGTTTTAAGTCTTTGGTAAATGAAAGGTTCACGCAACAAGAATCGTTCCGAAGTAAGAACACTAAATCAAGAATGCGGAGTAGCATTCACACAAGTACAACGTGCAAACCCAGATTCTAGATTATTTGTAAGTACTTAGAATATAAGTTGGCTTTTGGAACTTAGTGAGGCACGTTATTATAAAGGTTAAAATAAAACGTTCAATTGGAATATAAAACTGAGGAATGTAATAAAATAAATAATGTTTTAATAAGGTTGTTTAAAAATAAATAGAATATTCTACATTATTGTTTTATAAATAAATTAATCAAATTAATTTATTTATTTAATTATCTTTGTAAACAAAAAAATATCTTTTTCTTAAACTAACCGTTATTTTTATCAAATATATCACAAAGTTCATTCGGTTTTATCATGGCTAAAATATAGGAATATTGTTGAGGTAGTTGTGGATTGGTGAGCAAGCTTAGGAAGCTTGCCACGTTCACCACTTGTCATGATACTCCACAACATATTAACATTTGTTAGTGGGAGTGATGACATGTGTACGTGCATATGATGTGATGCTAATGATTAAGCTGTCACTCTATAAATACATGCAATTGATCTCAGCAAGAAATACACTTCTTGAGCATTATTAATCCAGTGAGCAAATTATCTAATAGCGTGAGAGAGTTCCTAAAATACTTCTTATATTCTTTTGTACGTTAGGTCTTGTATTACTTATTGTAATTGGGACTTTGGGGTATTTGTGAGAGTTGTAATTTGTGAGGAAAAGAAAGTTTTAGAGTTGAAACTTTTGAGAGAGTTGGGAACAAGTTCCGTTCTTGTGGAACATAGTCCGGGTTGATTATTCACTTTGTAAAAGAGTTTGATTTAGTTAGTGGAAATTTTGAAAATCCCATATCATTTCTTTCTATTGTTTTACAATGTCTTAATTCCGCAAAAAGTTTACTACTTCACCCATACTACAATTCACCCCCCTCTTGTAATAGCTATCTAGGATTTCACTCTTTCCACAGCCGAAAAAAAAAATTATAATTTAAACAAAATATACTACTAGATAAATCGGGTGTCAATTAATAATACTAGGTTAAATCCCGTGCCATGCACGGTAATTTTTAATAACTATTTTAAAACAAACATTACTATAATGAATTTATTATAAAGAGCCTGCAATGCATTGATTATAAAAGAGCCCATTAGCCTGATAGCTATTTTAACATGCATTTGACAATCTGTATATTATTTTTATATATTTAATTCACCAACAAATTGGTACCAGGCCATTTTCTTCTTGTTAACCAAATGAATTTCTTGAAACGTCGTGTATTACACTCCACATTACACAAATTATGTTAAGAACCTGTTTTTTTTTTTCCCTTAAATTTTATTTTTTTGTAAAGGATACATCAAATCTGTTATTATAAGTATGATTTTTAATATTTGATATTCGAATTACTTTCTTTCAGCTTTTAATATATCATATATAATTAAATAAATTCTTATAGTAATAATTGTAGTACATGGTTTAAATAAAAAAAATAAAAAATAATTGTAGTACATAACATTCTGGCACACTTCATGTTAAAAATCTTTATTATTTTTTTTACTTAAGTTTATATACTACGTAGTTGTTAATGTATATATTAGGGAAGGATAAATCCCTTCTTTTATTTATGTATAAATTGTTATCTTTTTATTTATGTATAAGAATATTTTTTTTTTTTTTCATTTCACATAATGTATAAGATTTGTTTCCAAAAGATAATAAAAAAAATAAAAAATAAAAAAAATAAAAAAAAAAACTGAGGGACAAACCAGAAAATAACACGTGTCATTGCGGGTGTATCTTTTAGTATATAAGTTATTGATTGTGCGTCTGTATATTGCATTGAAGTTACCTTAAATTGATAAAAAAAAAAAATTATCTTGACATAATTTAAAGTAATGAAGTAAGAGTATCATTTTTTTTTTTACTTTTTTATTATTAATAAAATTGCTTTTTTTTAACTAAAATAATAAAAAAATCAAATTTCAATGTGTAACCTTTTTATAATAATAAAGTGACTTTAGTTTTTACCTAATAACCTTTGTTTTAACATAGTCGTCATACAGTGGTCTTTTTTATTAATAAAACGACTATAGTGTCTCTAATATTGTGGTTCATAATAAACTAATGTGAACCAAGTTCAATTAAGAGTTTGTATTTATGATGTTGGTTTGTGTAGTAATGTTGTAAAAAACATGTAATGATTTTGTTATCAAAAGTCTAATATATATATTCTTGTTTTGTAACGATTTAGGAAAGCTTAGGTCTTTAGTGGTTAGTTACTTGTTTTTTTTGTTTTTTTTTGAAGACTAGTGATTAGTTACTTTTTTGTCGTAAGTTAAGGGCCTCAAACTAATCATGAGGTGTATTCTTACAGGAAAGGATAAATAAATAAATAAAAATAATAATAAATAAATAAATAAATAAGAGGAATGAGTAAATGGTAAAGCTAAGAAGATAATTTGCTTGGAAACCTAGCCTTTGCATTTACAAATTACAAGCAACCACAATTCCACAAAGTTATCAACAACTCTGCACGTAATCCACGAATCTCAGTTGATCCAGATTTCTAACCAAAAATAATTCACATCACTGTCAAATGCTTATGTAGGAAGATAACTAAGCAAGGCTATTACATACTATAATAATAAAAGATCAAACAATAAAACAGAGTTTTTGATATTAATTTTGAATTAAAAGTATTTACAACTGATGAATCAAGTTATCCACATATCCAAATGTATTTACAAAGGCGGTCGAAACAAAGAATTCACACTAGCAGTAATTCAGGGCATTTTTTTTTTAATTGTTTTTTTCCCCCTATTATTTATGTTTTTTTTCTTTTTAAAAAAGATTCAAGATTTTATTAACAAACCTACATGATAAAAATAATTAAATACGAGTAAACCGTTTGATTTATAAGCCGTATCAAAGAAGTTGAAATACATCAACTGATAAAAACCCCATTTTAAGGTTCATGTAATTCCCAAACTACACAGCAGCAGAAAGAGCATGGCAGGGAGCAATCTGGCTAGTTCAGTTATGCTGTAGAGAAGAAAGCCACCGTTCCATGTACTTTTCGCCATCTGCGAATAACGAAGAAAAAAATACATAACAAGATCAGAAAAAATTCCTCACATCCTAAATTGGTAATGGATAACCCAAAATTTGCAGCGTATGCATTTTGAACATGCACATACATAATCAACTTGATATGAACCTACTAAAGCAAAGACGTACACAACTTCTACATACGAGTAGATAAGGAAGACAATCTATCTGCACAATACCCTATAATAATAAAATAGTATCCCGTAGAAAAGTTGCAAAGAATGTAACACTAGCGATAAAATAGTATTTCGGCAGGAAAAATAGTAATTAGTATTACATTATCAACACCCCCCCCCCCCCCCAAAAAAACAAAAAAAAAAAAAATTCTGTACCAGTGACTGAACTTGAGTTCATCCTAATGGCAAAATTTTACTGTACACACTGTACCGGTAGTGGACTGATTTGAATAAAATCAGGAGAGTGAAACTTACTGAAACTGCCCACCTTAATTAGTCTGTAATATACTCAGATAAATTGGTTCACTTGCTAGCGAATAAACAGACAAGAGCTCTACTACCCAAAGATAACAGCAACTAGAGAAAAAAAAAAAAGGACACAGGAAAGTTATGAAAAGGCAAAAGCAGATAAGCCGATGGCTGTAACCTGTACATGCCTCAAAAAAGCAATTGACTTGGCAACGGAGTTGAATCTTCAAGTCCTCTTTTTTTTTGGTTCTAGGCAAGGCAATTTCAAAGAGATGCAGGCCAAAGCACAAAACTTTTCATTTTTCACAAAAATCGTTACTGCAACACACTTAAATGAGGCACACTAGAAAGATACCCATCGCCTCAATACACCTTGAGCCATTTCATATATTTGCTCTCAGCAACCAAATGTAACCTAAAAGATGTGCATCTATTTATCCAATAGGACAATCATATAATCATGGAAAATTACCGAGAACCTTGATAATGGACTTTTTTTAAAGAAAAAAAAAAAAAAAACAGTAGCTTATTGCCGGATTCCATGAGAAAAATGAGGCATCGACTTTTTTTACCTCCTATTTTCAGACATGGATGGCATTTTCCTTTTGTGTACTTTCCCTCACACGCATTTTGATTCACTTCTGTGTTACCTTTCGTACAGCAAATCCTCACACCCACTACGATTCTCTTCTTCCTTCCTCAAATTTTTCTATCACCGCCGACATGCATTATGAATTTATGATAAGAAGAATAATAGAGGGGGAAAGAGAGAGTAAAGAGGAGGGGGCTGAGGAGGGTAGAAGCAGGTCTTCCATGACCGGCGCAAGAAGAAAAGGAGGAAAGAGTATAGCTTTATACAAAAGAGTGTGTTACTCGAGCACACAGACAAGGAAAAAAAGACCAGAAAGTTGAAAAAGTCCACCAGAAAAGACAATACAAGCCACAAGGTGTTGCTTTTAAAAGAGAGAAATTTTTAAGATTCTAATTGACAAACAAAAAACAAAATAAAAAAAAAAAAATCAATAAAGGTACTAGTTAAAAAAACTAAAGTGTAAAACAAGTTAATTTCGGACACAATGTCCTAAATTTTACTAATTTTCCAGATACTAAAAGTTCGAGCTTCCACTGCCTGTTGGAATATCTCCCATGCAACAGAAAGATGACTAATAAACCATCAAATGTACATAAGCAAAGGAACACAGCACAAAACATCTATCATGGATAAACGAAAGATATAGTTCTAAACCATATGGTTTTTTTTTCAGCATTAATATCTCTTGAAACTTCACTATCAAAGAATGCTATAATGTGTACTATTTTCTGAGTTTCAAAGCCAAGCGGTTCAATCAGTTAGGACTTTGCTACAAATCTAAGATTGCCGCTGAATTGCTGATCATTACCATCATCTACGTTCAACAAATCAATGAACAATATACATGCTCGCATTAAATCACCTCATTTTCTACAGCCAGAAACTATAAACTGCTGCAACATCAAACCAATTAAGATGTCAATATTAGAATGTTCAGACTAATTGCATGACTTTCTAAATCAAATCTAGTAACTTCTAAGAGCAGTATTAAGTGGTGTGATATTAAACCAAATCTAGTAACTTCTAAGGAGCAGTATTAAGTGGTGTGATATTAAGCCCAAGATATTGTCGTTCACTCTAAGTCATCCATTACTACCCTCTGTTCTATAGGCCATTTTCCTCCAAACCAAACTATTTTCATCCACATCAACAACTATCACATATCTAACTGATGCCCAGAATTCCAATCCCACCCATATAAATCTGCCACTCTTCCTCTGGAGCTGGAAACCAAAAACAAATTCCATAATCTCAGACATTCTCAGGGGGAACAATGCCTACACCAACCACTTATTGATAATTTGTTGGCTCATGACAGGGTTATAGGTGTGTTCTGTTCACCACTTCACCTAATTACGAACTTACTAGGGCTAATTGTAGTAGTGAGCTTGTCGGAACTTCACCAAACCTGTAGGAACTTATGTGAGGTTAATTTTCTTGAAAAGAAATATTTAATATGAAAAGAAAACACTCTATTTGTATTTTTTAAAGTGTTAGGCTACCAACTTGTTATCATCATTAACAACTTAACTACCATGATAGAATCCTAAGAGTAATTATACAAAATTAGATTTCACAGAAGAGCAAGAGGGTAAAATCTAGTTGATTACTATGCTCTAAAGTCTAAAGTCATTAACCCACAAGCTTGTTGAACAAAAGAAAGTAAGTATGGTAACAATGGTCACTCCTATTGTAGAATAGCATACCACAAAGGGTAATCAAGTAGTTTTGTGCCAAAGATTAAGGCATAGAATGCAGGCTAACAGGAGAAAACAACTACGAGCCTAGAAGAGGGCAGATGACTAACCATGCTCCAAGCTTTTTGGGCAACTATGTAAGCCCTTCATTCTTGAAAACCAAAGTCTAGAGAGGAGGGATAAAAAGAGCTTTGCAATTTTGATCCCCTCATATATCAAAGTACAAATAAGACCAACATGAACCGTTCAATACCTGAAAATCAAAGGTATCTTCAATTTCTAAAGGGTGATGGTTTCAGACAATAACAACCCTTTCTTGTCAATTTTTCATTTCCAATAGTGACTGGAGAACTTAGAGAATCTCTAAACAGGCAACAAGTAAAATACTATAACACAATGTGGATGTATTATGAGTACAATAATCAAGGACAAACATTTTGTCAAATGAGAAATTCTAGCTTTAAATTCAGCAACAGTTCAAGCTTATAAAGAACAAGATTGCATAAATGAAAAAACATGATTGATGATTTGATAAGATGAACAAGCAACACAAATGAAATCTAAGGAGTAATGATATCCACTTCCAAAAGAAATAAAAAGCAGCTTCTGAAACCAAATCAAGGACTTACCAGCAGAATAAAGCTCTGGTACATTGGCATTATTGACCACACTGTTCTTTCTACGGTCTTGATTCCCTCCAGAACCACGCCCATAGCAGCGGACAAGAACACCAAATCCCCCATCAATTTCATCCTCACTCAAGAACCCCGAGGCATGTGGCTCCGACCATCCTATCGACCAATCTGAAGCATCCGATTCATTATCAGACGTACCACCTCCATCTGAAGGCACAAGGACAACATCATGCTCCTTATCAACCTTCCCACCCTCTTGAGCCCGCCCTTTTCGCCTCCCCCTCCTCGAGTTAGAACCTAAATTACCCCCAGTCCCACTAATAGCAGGGAACTTCAATACATCCACATTCAATTCGGACGACGAATCAAGAGAAGACTCTTTCTTCAATTTAGCATCTTTTTTTTTACCACTCCACAACCACCAAGATAGGTTGGGAAATGTCAGAGACATAAATCAATCAGATAATCTTGCCTCCTCTTTATTTCCCCCCTAATTTTTATTTTGCAAAATCAAATACCCTTTTACAGAATAATTCCCACAATTTTGAAAACTGCAATTAAAAACAATTAAAACCTATAATCAGACGGCAATTTACTAAGCTAATGACAAATCAAATTCACATCAACTAACATAAACAGCAATAATATTAATCTCAACTAAATCAAGAATTCGCTTAAAACCAACTAAACATCCATGATTACTATGAATTCAACTGTAATTCCAAAATTAGAACTTTCCATTATCAGATTACAATCACAAAAAAAAAAAAAAAAAAAGAAAAAAAACAAGAACAGAAATCAACACCTTAATAATCTCTTATATCATCAAGAAAGATAAACAAAAACCCATAAATTATTCAATAAAAAAACTTGAATATATGATAAATTCAACAGGAAAATTGAGAAAAGAAAGAAGCAATAAAATTGGGTACCTTGGAAATCGTAAATAAAGTTGATGGAAGGAAGGAAGAAATTTGATTTTGGGTGAAAAAATCAGAAATCTTGTCTTAGACGCCAGTAAAACTCCAAAAAGGAGGTTCCAAGAAGAATTACGCCATTATTTAAGGAGGAAGAAGAAGAAACAAGGAAGTTGTGTCAAAGGAGGAAAGCTTAGGTGGTTACTTGGTTCATTGAATTTATCCTATTATTATATTCATAATTGGATATTTTTATGATTTGTACTTTTATTCTTTTCCGTACTTTTTTCGCTGATTTATGAAGTATTTTTTTTTTTTTTTTTGGTGCAAATGAGGGGTTTTCGGTGCAAATGAGGGGCTAAGCCCTGAAAAAGAAGAACAAAGCAAAAATAAAACTGAGGAGGAATGAAGCGGGGCATAGAGGCGAGACTTGAATCAACTCAAATTTGTTGTTTTGAGTAACTTCTTGATTAGCTAGCCAATCTGCGGTCCTATTAGCTTCACGATAAATGTGCTTCACTTGTACTTCCCATTCCATTCTTGCAGGCAGATTTTTACAGTGTTGGATGTCATGCACACACTCACCATTGTAATCATTCGAGCTGGTAAAGATTTGTACAAGGGCTTAGTTGTTAATTTGGACTTGAAGCTCCTTTATTCCCATTTTCTTTGCTAGCTCCAATCCATACTCAGCTGCCAGTACCTCGGCTTTAAAAGCCAAGCAATTTCAAGTTTTAGAGAGTATGCATAGTAAATCCTCCCTGTGTGATCTCGAATAATACCCCCACCCCTAGCTGGACCTGGGGTACCCTTCGCTGCACCATCAAAGTTCAAGGCGAACCATCCCTCAAGCGGGGCAGACCACTTAATGAAGGCTTCTCGACGAGCTATAGGTGCTTCTGAGCTGCTAACAACATCATCCCCCATAACCCTCCAAACTTCTTCAAACCGATCAAGCAAAAATTGCTTAACGTCTATTGGAATCTCATTCAATTTCCTATAGACCACGGCATTTCTCCACCTCCAAGTCCACCACAAAACTATAGCAAAATACGTAGGCCATATTTCAGGAGACATATCATTGTGTTTTTGTACCTTAATATTGCGAATTATCCACTGTTGAAGAGTACCAGTATGAAAATTCGAAGCATTTGCAGGTCCTCCCACTTGACGCCATATCTCTTGAGCTGCTTTGCAATCTCTAAGTATATGCAGGATATTTTCTTCAACATTGGTGCATAAATTGCAACAAGGATCCTCGTCAATGATCTTTTGAATCAATTTGCATTACTCATTATTCTGTCATGAAGAACAAGCCACAAGAACACCTTAACTCTCTGCTGAACATGTAGCCTCCAGATCAACTCCCATGATCCATCATTTTGATCTTCATTATCCTGCCTAATGATCTAAAGTGCAGACTTTATGGAAAATTTTCCTTTTGAACCTTTGTTCCAGTAGAGCAGATCACCCTTCTCTAGGTTTTTAATTAAGGAATGAGCTTCAATTACTCGCAAAGTATCTTGAGGTAATAAGTCAACAAAGAAAGACCACTTCCATCCTGCCTCCTCATCTCACATCTCAGCCACAGTTGCACCTTCTATGTCTAAACGGATATTGGAGGTGCAAAGCTCCCTAAGAGTCTTCTCAAACACCCATCAATGATCCCAAATTAAAGCTATGGAACCATCACTAACAGCCGTTCTAGCACCCTTTGCAATCACAATCGCATTTTCAGTTATTCCTTTCCACACATTTGACATATTAGCTTTAGCTTCGAACATATCAACATCGCATTGACCCTTACAATACTTATTGCGAAGGACTCTTGACTATAAGGCATTCGGTTCAGTAAGAACCCTCCAACCAAGCTTTGTTAAAAAATCCGAGTTAGCTTGCCTTGAAGAACGAATCCCCAATCCTCCCATCCCTTGGTTTTTGAAGATTTTCCCAAGAAATTAAATGAATCTTGCGTTTCTCCTCATCTCCACCCCATATAAATCTTCTAGTTCGTTTGTCTATATCATCACATATTGACCTTGGTATCCTTGTTGTTTGCATAGCATATGAAGCCATTATGGTGATGGTTGATTTAGCAAGAGTTATCCTTCCTGCCAAAGAAAGGTACTTGGACTTCCATCTTGACAACCGGCGGTCTATCTTCTCACAAAGGTAACCAAAGGTATCACGAGTCACTCGGCTAGTCAGCGTAGGCATACCCAAATAAGTTCCCAAGTCATCCATCTCTTCCATACTCAAGAAGTCAGTCACCTCTTTTCTCTTTATAACATCCGTATTTCTAGAAAAATAAATTCTGGATTTAGGATAGCTTATTTTTTGCCCCGATGCACCACAAAAGCGATCCGAACAGGACTTCACCCAAGCTGCTTGCTCATAATTAGCCTCGGCAAACAAGATTATGTCGTCTACAAAGGCTAAATTTGTTAATCTTGGACCATTTCTGCTTGCCCTTATCGGTTTCCACCTATTCAAAATAACTGATTCTTCAATAATTTGATTCAATCTCTCCATACATAAAACAAAAATGTATGGGGACAAAGGATCTCCTTGACAGATGCCACGTTTAGGAGTAAAAGCTTGAGTCGGCTCTCCATTCCATAGAACTCGCATCGATGAAGTTGTGATGCATTCCATAATAATATCAATTAGAAAGATAGGAAATCGAATTTCCATCAAATTATCCCAAAGAAAGTCCCACCTAAGCCGATGGCACGCCTTCTCAAAGTCGATTTTTATTGCCACGAATCCTGTAGCTCCTTTTTTGTTCCTCATAGTATGAACCACCTCTTGCACAATAACTATAATATCAGTAATTTGCCTCCCGGGAACAAAACTAGTTTAAGTACAAGAAGTAAGATGCGGCATCATTGGTTTTATTCGATTATCTATAGCTTTTGTGATTATTTAATAAACCACATTACACAAGCTAATTGAACGAAATTGGGACACGAGTTCCGGATTATCAATTTTTGGAATCAAAACCAAAAAAGTGTCGTTTAATTTTTGAGGAAGCCCTTTTCGCAGTCAAAGCATTCAAGACAAGATCATATACATTCTTTGACACCATATTCCAATTCTTTTAAAAGAAAAGAGCTTGAAACCCATCCGGCCCCGAGGCCTTAAGAGCTCCCATCTCGTGCACCACCTTATCAATTTCGCACTTTAGAAACGGCCTTGTTAGATTATTCCAGTCCCTATTGATGAACTCGGGAAAAATATCATGGGGCAGCTCATCACCCAATGGCAAATCTTCCTCATTGTCAAATAAATTTTTAAAGTAGTTGACTATATGATTTTGAACTTCCTGCTTCTTAGTCAACCACTCACCATCTGCCCCATCTTTAATTGTCGAGATTTTGTTGCGCCACCTATGGGTTATAGTACTCAAATGGAAGTAGGTGGTATTACGATCTCCATCCCTAATCCACTCCACCCTGGACTTTTGATACCATAGTAATTCTCCTTGCGCAAGAACATCATCGAGCTCTGCCCTTAATTTGGTCTCTTGCTTTTTGAAGCGCTAAAGCACGTTGCACACCAGCTATGCGAGCAAGAAGGTTCCTTTTTTTTCTTGAAAATATTATGAAAAGCGGTTTTGTTCCAATTTTGTAATTCCTCGGCTATGTAGTGGAGATGGGGGATAAAAGGGGCATCTTTGTTCCATTTTGATTCCACAAAGTCTTTAAAGTTCTCATGCGTCATCCAAGCGGCTTGGAATCGGAAAGGTTTGTTAACATCAAAGATATCGGGGCAAACCCATTAGGAGCTATGATTATCGGATAATGATTCGATTGAACAGCCGGCAAATTCTTCATCGAAACATTAGGGAACCTTAGACTCCATTCTCCATTACATAAGGCTCGATCCAATCTTGCACTCTGCCAAATTTGAACACTATTGCCTCTAGACCAAGTGTGGGAAGCTCCACTAAATTCAATCTCCATCAAACCCACATCTTCAACCCATTCACTAAAACATGCTACTCGTCAAGAAGTTTCAGTACAACTAGAACTCTTCTCCCATTGAAATCTTGTTTCATTAAAATCCCCTGCTAGCATCCAAGGGTGATTATTGGAAGTAGAAAAATCTTTCAACTATCTCCACAAATCTTGTCTTTTTGTAGGATCCGAACTAGCATAGACAACGGTGAAATACCAAGGGATACCATCAACTCTTTTTATTTCCATGGTAATAAAATGGTTATGTTTATAAATAGGTTCAACAGGAACAAGTTCCCTTCTCTGGTAAATCCATATGCCACCACTAAAGCCTTGAGCATCAACTTTAGTGTGACCATTGTAGCCAATTGCATCAGCCACTCTATCCGCCTGTGCGCCTCCTATGTGAGTCTCAACGAGGGCTACAACTTCGGTTTATTTATTCTAATTATTTCTTTTAGAGCTAACAAAAAATCTCGACTTCCTGCTCCCTGTACGTTCCAAATCATACAAGAGATAGGCAGTTGGCTTGCGGCCAAATTTGCAAGGTTTGCATTCATCATATTAATTGAGGAGAAAGGAGTACTCAAATATGCTTCTTCAATTAATCTAATAACTCGATTAATTTCCACTGGAATATGTAAATACACCACCACTCCAATGGCTCTGGCATCGGTTCTACCCATGTCTCCATACGGACCTCCATTACATGGGTCATGGGGGTTTGCTGTGGTCAAGTAATAAGACATCTCCATTGGATGTCCTACAAATATTGTTTTCTCCGATGGGATCCGGAGCGATATCACATCTTGTGGGTACATTTCCATTGCTATACAAATCAATGATATCCTCTACTTCCTCTGTTTCTGCTTGAGAATTATCTTTGGAAAGGACTTTTTGTGATACGGCTGTTGTGGTCTTTTTTGCGGAAAAAGTAATATTTTCTTTGCCTAGTTGTTGACTTTTTTGGTTTAAAATAGGAGATGGCGTGGGTAATACATTCTCAATAGGCTTCTAAGGGCTAATTTTTTGGTTTCCTAATTTTTGAGAACTAGATGAAAGCCCGTGCGATGCACGATTTCTCATACATATATCTCAAGAAAAGATATTTTCCTATATACTCTAAGTTTTTTTTTTTTATAATTATTTGATTTATTTTACAATTTAATAATTTCAGACAAAAAAAAACAAATAATAATTCAATTAAAATGATATTGCCAATTACAAAAGTATAATTTTTTTAATGTAATTTATAATGTGACTTAATTTATTGTTGTTTTGTATTTTATTCGTTGTTGTTAGTTATATGACAATAATATGATATCTTTAAAAAAAAAATGGAAACATGATATTTCATTGATTACATATTAGGATAAGATCTTTAATATGAATATATAGTAATTTTATATCTTTAAAATAATTTAAATCCTAAATCATTATTCGTTGCCTTTTACACTTGAAATTAAACTCTCAAATCTATATATCATTTTGTCTTGTGATCTCTTGATCTCTAACAAATTATCTGTCTTTTCAATTTTTTAGACATAAAATGTTTAAAGAATGTAAAGTTTTTTATTGCGAAAAGTTTTTAAATTTTTTTTGTGAAAAAAATATCTTATTAATCGGGTATTTAGATAAAACCATTAATTTCATAAGATAATTTTTTTTTAATAATTTAAATCCTAATATCCCACGGTTTTTTATACATAAAATCTCATAAAAATAATTTTTGTAATTAGATCATACTCATAATATTTTTGATTACTTTGCTATTGTTTGTTAAGGATAAGTTTTTAGTAATTTATTTAATTAATACCCCGAATAAATATTTTAATAAGAACATTAAAAATAATAGTTATTAGATGTATTAATTCGATGTAAAAAAATTTGTAAAAAAAATTCGATAGGATCACCAATTTTGTTCACACCCGTATCTCTTCCATCTAATAAAAGTGGATAAATTGAACATGTTAGCAAAAATAAAATTTATATAAAATTAATCTTTGTAGTCTTATAAAACAAATTAAAAATTTACCAAAAAGTGAATAATTGTTGTGAAATTAATTTTAAAATGGTAATTATACAAAATTAAATCTATGCATTGGAATTTTTTCATCGTCCCCAATCGCCCAAACAATAATATTTTGGAAAATTGAATCATTATTTTGTTGTCGCTGACAATGCGTGTGATATTGCTTCTTATTTGTAACGACTGAAAAGTATTTAATGGAGTAAACTTTTCCTTCAATCAATTTTGAACAAAATTGTAGAACAAAGTTGATTTTAATTGAGGCATGAATGTAATCACCCTGTAATTAAATATTAAGTTAATATTATGACTTAATTAAGCTACCTAAATCACAAAAAAAAATTGTTTTAATCATAAAATTAATTGACAAAAACTAAAAGGTTCATTAAAAGATTTAATAAATGTAAATGATTTATAAATATATAATACCTCCTCATCCAATAGGATCATCAGGCGAGAAACTCATACTTTGATATTCCAAAGAGTTTTGCTCGAATATAATTCTCTGATTAAATTAGATCTGCATGTAAAAACAAAATTCAATAAACAAAACATAAACATAAACATATAATCATTAAGTATCCTAAATAAACACAATTTAGGCAATAATCACAAATATACATTTAAACATAGGTTTTAAAAATTAGGCTAAGAATTACCCAGCTATTGATGACCTAATAAAACTGACACAAAATTAATGACACAAAATTTGCTTGGTTTGGTTTTGTATTGATACGAAATTTTGTTGGTGTCATATGATACGTCAATTTATAATGGTAGATATCACAAATTTTAATTTAATTATAATTAAAGAATAATTTTTATTTCTTATCATAAACACTATCAAAATTTATCTTATGATTGTAGGTATATAAATCCTATATCTAAAGATGATTATTTTAAAAGCTAATTTTTAGTTTTTTAAATAAATTAAATCCTAATAAATCAATATTCGTTGTTTTAACTTATGTGGCAAAATACTTAAATCTCATTCGTCACTTTTGTTTAGGTGGCAAACGAATTTTTTAATTCCAAAATAAAATAAAAATCTAATTTTAAATTGGTCAAAAATATACCTTTGCTAATATGGCGCGCCAAATGCTCTTGAAAAATGCCTATTTTATTTAGATATATTAGATTAGATTATTATTTCCACCTTTTTTATTTTTGGTATGATGAGTAATACCAGAATCTGTAGCTCCTACACGGAAATTAAAATTCTTGGAAATCCCTTGAGAATCTTCTCCCAAATGGACGATCAAATCCTTAGCAATATCTTCGGGTAACGATTGGTTCGATATATTTGCCATATCTTTTGAATGAATATCTTCTAGAGAAATATCTTTTTGTTGCATATCATGTACTACCTCCGGTTTTTTTTATGTGCAACTTTTGTGGTTTTTTTTTTATGTGCAACTTTTGCCATTTTAGTCCGCTCACTATTATGTGCAACTTTCTCTTTTATATCCATTTTGGGTTGAAAAAATACTGAAAATTACTATATTACCCTTAATTAAAAATTCAGATTTTTAATCTTTTACCCCTTATTACCCATAACCCCCACTTAACTCCATTAACTTACATTACCCTAATCTAATCACTCCCTCCATTTATTCCTCCCAACTGACACAACTCTTCATCTTCCCAACCACCTGATTAAAAGCGATCTAGACTCTTCTTCTGAAGAACCCTAGATCTGGTTCTTCATCTTCCTCCTTTCTTTCGCCTTCCTCCTTTCCTCCTTTATGTCGCCTTCCTCATTTCTTTTGCCTTCCTCTCCAGTTTACATCATGACATCTCTCAATTCCTCACCTTTAGTTCGGAAACCAGATGACACCATTCCCCTAAGAGACCTTGATCCACTAATTAACGCCTACATTGGCACCGACGACAACAGCGAGGCCACTCTTATCAAGTGCCTCATCAATGATCTTAACAGAGGCGATGATTTTCCCCGTCACCTATACGCGCATGAAGATGGGCCAAGCTTATGTTCGCTGACCACTTTCAAGGCGTTAGGGGAAGTTCTGAAGAATATTGATGAGGCTGAGCAGAAAACGAAGGAGGAGGGTGTAGGCGAGTCCCGTGGCCACAAAAAGCTTGATTTTGATGTTGTTCGTGTAGATCTGGGGTCCCAAAGTGAGGATGGCAGTGCTGCGCCCCCTCCCAAGGCCCGATCTGAGCCTTCCAGGCCACCGAAGAAGATTAAGCCACGTCGGAAGGCGGCCTGGGTGGCTCTGAGCCGTATTCGGGGTTTGTCGGAGCGAGAATTCGTCGTTCTTTCCTCTGATGAGGAGGATGAGCACTGACCCTTGCGTAACTGTTCCTAACCCTAACTCTTTAAATTTTTTTTTGTTTTTTAAAAATTCACCTTAATTTTTTTAATTTTTGCCATAGTGTATTGGTTTGCTGTGTTGTTTGGTTGTTGTTAGGGGAATGTTTGACTAGATTTGGTTGCATGATGGGTTGATTTGGTTATGTTGCCCTTGGTTATGTTATTTTGCTGTGTACTACTGGTAATTTGATGGGTTCATGCATGTGTGGATACTATGGTTGGTTGAGTTGGGTTAATGATGTTGCATGAATTGCCTGTTCTCTTCTGTTGTTGGAATGTACTAGGTTTCAAATACTCCAATTCGTAGTGATTTTTATGTTGATGATTTGGATGTGAGTTGATTTGCATGGACTATGTTGGCTTATGTATTGTGTTGTGTTGGGTGTGTGTAGGTGATTGTGTTGTTGTTGACTGCCATGGACTTCATTGGGTTATGTTTGAGGTTGGCTGTGTTGAGTTTATTGTGTTGTTGTTGGCTGGGATGTATGATGTTGGCAGAGTGGATTTGATTGATGAATGATGAGGCTGGTATCTTCTACATGTAACATTTCTGCCTAGTCAGTCCCTTACAATGAGTCCCCTGTTAATAGGTCCTGGTTTGTTTTGAGTCCCATAATCTGATTTGTCATTCACCTTACCCAAATCCACATGATGAAGGGACTCCATTGAATTTGACTAAGCACAAGTGAATTGCTCCAACAACATGCATAATGTTGTTGTTGTTGAGGTATCCTTGTGCATTAGTGTAGTATTCAACAATGACTATTAACCCCTCTGATGGATTGAATGGCCACAACAATTGTCTGTCTTTGTCATTCATTGATACCATTTAAAATGTGGGTACAAAAGACATAACATTGAGTAATTAAGAAAGTACATTACAAAAGACCCTACCATAATCTAAAGACTTTACAACATACTGCCTTACATGTTTTGATAATTGTAATCAACAAAATACACTTAACCACTTGGTACTTCAACATTTGAAATAAAACACAAATAAACAAATTTACATAGGTAAGTGGTTATGTGTGGCAGTACATGTGTTGTCTTTTTCTTGTATTGAGTCCCCTAATCTGCATCCACCTCCAATTCTTCTGTGACTTCTTCATTGCCCTGATTAGCTGGCCTAAACATGGTGTTTAGATACTCCATAGCCCCCACTACTACCTCCTGCTGGACTACAACTATTTCTGGTAGAATGCCAATATTCTCAAGCTTTTTCTTGTTCATATGTGGAATCTTGTACTTGTTACCACCTTCTGCCTTCAGTATTTTAATCATGCAGTTTTGCAAAGTAACCTAGATGTACTTGTTAACCTCTCTGGATTGAATGTGTCATAAGAGTCTTTCACCTTTTGGACTAGCTCATCTAAGTCTTTAGGAAAAGTCTGATATTGCAATGATTGTATAGACCTAAACAGCCCCAAATCAAGCACATTCAAATCAGGTGATTGTGCTTGCTAAAAACAAATTGAATGTTGAAGCCATTGTGGTAGTAGCTTCAATGAACTCCGCATCCCTTGGAACTTGGTGAGGCCTAGCATTGTCCCATTGGATTACCACATCCTTGGCCAGACTTTCTGGCCACTTTGACTTGATGGCTGGGATAACTTTTGTGAGCAACATCTCCCTGATTAGTTCTGTGTTTATATTCTGTAGTGCCTTTGTTTCCAAAGTCCCTCTTGGCCTTTTCTTGCTTGATTTCTGTGCTAATTGCTGCACAGTGAATGGGAAGATGACATACTTTCCATCATGTAACATTTCTCCATCTATGCCATATAATGGCTTCCCTATAATTGCCATGAACATGGCCTTCAGCTTGAATCTTCTTGACTGAACTGCCATGTAAGGATCCTCCTCACTTGGCAGTAGATAAAACCTCCTTTTATCAGGGTTCAAGTAGAACCACTTCTCATCACAGTGAATGACATTCCTCATGTCAACAAATGTGGGGTCCTGATTTTCTGTAAATGGATTTATGTGTGACAAAATCCATCTAAGTCTGGCCACCTTATGGTCTGATGACAGTGCTGGCTTGTTGCAGGTTGTGTGTGTTCTTAGCCTTCCTTTCCTCTTCAAATTGTGAACTGTGCTGTGACTGATCTTCAGTGCTCCTGCATAGCTCCTTTCAGTCTGCCTTAAATGTAATGGGACTGACTGTAGAATTTCATCAGAAATTTTCATTGGCTTTCTCCCTGTTCTGCCAATTTTTTTTAGTCTTGACATCAATCAAGTCCCCTTCTGCAAGTTGTTTCTTTATATCTGTGAATATTCTTGTTATTGTTGATTTGTGTACGTTGAATTGAGTTGATAACTGCTTCAAGTGACCCCTAGGTAATATGCCATTGTTCATTTTTGTAAATCTTTGAACAGAGTAGTTAGTGTGTAATTAACCTAACCGTAGGGGTGAACTAGAAATCTGTAATTTTTTGGGATGAAACTCTGTTTTTTGCTGGAATGTTTCACCCAGCTGCTAACATTAATGCTGTAATGAATTCTATGACAATGGAGGCTGCCTTTATAGCCTCATTTAATGTTATGATTTTGGGGGCAAAATCGAAATGGAGGCTGATTTTATAGCCTCTAGTGAAATTTAAAAAAATTTCAGTTTGCCAGATTTTTTTGAAAAATTGGGGGGAAACAAATTTTACATGGAAAATTTGGCTTTGAACTTTTTGGCAGATTTAATTAATTGAGGGGGAAAATTTGACTTTGTACTTATGGCCAGATTTTCCCACCAAAATACTATGTGGGTGGCCACACTTTCTCTCTCCTTCTCCTTTAATTAAACCCACACACTTTTATTAATCTTTGCCCTTCAATCTTTTGCTTCGTGAACCGCAAAATGCTTGAAAGTTGCACATAAAAAAACCCGGAGGTAGTATATCCGTTTCCATATTAAGAGCCTCAAATCTCGATCCGGATTCTTCCAAATTGTTCTGATTTGAATTTTGAATAGGCGCCCCATTTCTTCTAGAAAATCTTTGAGGTTGATTTCCTTCTCGACCAGCTCCCGGAGGTGCCTTGTCTTGCCGGATATTGCGTTTCCTCACCGGTTTCTTTACGAGCATCCATGAACCAAAGTCAGCTTCTTCCTCCGATCTTGGTTGCTTGTCGTGAGAATTACCGTTGTCTGGCCCATTGTGATTAGTCACTACATTATTGACTTGATCCACTATCATGTCATTCGAATGGCTTGATGTGCATTGTTCTTCAACATGCCCCAGCTTACCACACTTGTAGCAAATTAATTTTATACCTTCATATTGTATTCTCCATACTTTTGACAACAATGGCTTAGAGAGATCAATTTCAACACTTAATCTAGTAAATTGACCTCGCTCCGCATAGGCATTGGACTTATCAACTCTAATTACTTTGCCAATTTTCGTACCAATTTTCCGTAAAAAATCTTTGTCAAAATATTCAACAGATAAATTTGGTATTCTTTGTCAAAATATTCAACAATAAAATGACCGGACATCTCTCGGTATCCTCAATATCGTCCGGCGGTGTATCATCGTCATCAAACACATGTACAGTCTTATCAGCCATAGACTGTAACTGAGTGTCCCTTAAGGGCTGCGTACCAGGCAGAGCACCTGGTGTCATATTCATTTCATTCCCTGTATTTCCATTGTTAGGTTGCGCAAGCTTAGAAATGTCAGAATCAATTTCCATGCTAGGTTGTAATTCGTTTCCAGCATTATCAAAAATCATATGCGTGATTTTTCGTTTTGGTTTTTTATTAGATCTGACCACCTGGTCGGTGACTTCCGGCGGCATTGGGGGTGGCTGAGGGTTTGGCGTGGAGTTAAGCATTAGAGAGAATTATAGCTTAATTCACCGAGTATTATTGCAAGATTTTTTTAATTAATGATATAATTTGCAATTTACTCCGTATTTTTTTTTATTTTTTTTTTAAAATCAAATATCAAAGTATATATTCTTTCATAAAAAAAAGAAATATTCCCTATATCTATTCAAATTATTAAGTGCATCTTATTTACGCAATTTTAACTTATCTATACTTACAAGAAATTGACTTTACTTTAAAATAAACTAGTAGTTTAAAATTATACTCATATATAACATTGAAGATCCATACCGATTTTAGCAACCCCAATTATGTAAAAAAGGAAGAAATGAGAGAAATTAACCAACAAATCACTGTCGCAAATGTAAATTTATATTAAAAAAGGTTAGGTATTCAGTTATTTGATAAAATTTTATACAACTAACATCATGTATAATGCTACAAGATATCACAAGACCATAAAAGTAATTCAAGTAACTTATAATTTTTGTAGGATAAATAATAACTTATAAACCGCCCGTGCGTTGAATAAGCTAAAATGCTATTTAATCAATTAAAATGAGACGATTATATTTGACATTCAAAGTTTTCACAGTATGTTGCACTACATAGACAACAAATATTGATGAACTATTAAGTTAGCAAATTTGGAATTGGTCTTTTGGGCTTTTTCTTAGGTATTATTGATCCATGGACTTAGTTATACTTTGGGTCTTTTCTATGTTACTACCTCTATTTTAAGGGTTGGGCCTCCTTTTAATATAGACTTAAGAAAATTAAAAACTAAGTCCAAACATCTAATAATCGGAATAACCCACTATTACTTTATACGTAGTATAATTGCATCATTTGTATGATAGGACTAGTAAAGGTGATTGTACAGCTAATATTGTATTATTGATGCATTCCATCAATACCTATACTCGTGAATTGAACTTTTATTTAATTAATAGACCAAATTAAAATTAATCTCATGTAATTAGATATATAAAGAGAAATATTTTTTTAAAAAAAATAATAATAAAAAAAAATAAAATAAAGAGACATGTTCTCAATTCGATTCAATTGAGGAGAACGATCCTTTAAGTCGTATAAGTTGGTTTTTGGGATCACAGTACGCTTTGCTAGGATATATTTATATAAATAAAAATATTATTGTGTTTATTCTTTTGGTAAGTTAGGGTACATGTTTTATGCCTATATGTTGGTGGTTATGATAAAGGCTCAAGCAATATTCTCCTGATACGCTTCCGAAATCATGGAAAGTACATGTATTAATGATCATATTCCAGAAGACATAATTCTCCAGATTCTATCAAGACTCCCCTCGAAATCCTTGGTGCGATTCCGAAGCGTTTGCAAGTCTTGGAACACTCTCATTACCCACAACCATGAATTTCAGCTTTGTCACCTGAATTCAAATAACACTCATCCTCGTCGTTTCATTGATTTTAAGCCTCGAGAATCATTTCCACTATACACCACAGATTGTTTCTGGGTTTTAGATGAATCCCTCACTTCTAAAGAGCCTTTACCTTGCCGTCTTCCTCTGAAAAAGCGAAAACCCGGAAACTTCTGGCTTACGGAAATAATTGGATCATCCCATGGAGTCTTATGTCTTTATCATCCCGACGAAAAATATTATCTTTCCAAAGGCAGATATAGGCGGGAAAAATATTTCATGTTTCTGTGGAACCCTTCTATTAGGACCATCCGTTACAGGTCCCTTCAAGGGAGAGGCAGGAGTTGTACTACATCAATTTGCTACACTTTGTGTTTTGCTTTGGATTCTGCTCTATTCATCATGGTTTTTTTTTTTTTATAGTTTTTGTAATTAGTTTTCTTCTTCACTGACAGTTTTAACGAAAGTCTATAACTCTATATTAAAGTAAAACTTTTTTCCCCCTCCTAAATCCCTTAAAACCCCACCCATTTTCTATTTGTTTTTTTTTTTTTTTTTTTTTTTTTTTTTTTTGTACCTGAAAAACTACCTTTACAATTATTTAGGGAGAGAGTTATTGATGACATATTATTTGATTTGGTCTTGATATTTATCCAACAAATATAATTGAACTAGATATGCACGGTTTTTTAAAATAAATCACATGAAAAAATAATTTTTTTATAAAATTTTGATTAAAAATTATTATTATTTGTTAAAGATAATTTCTATTAATTTTATGTAATTTATAATGTCCGCGTGATTTTTTTTGTTTTTAAATAATATAAAAACCTCAAGTCTTAGCTCATGTGATGATTATTAGGATAAAAAATTTAATTTAAAAAGATGATTTTTTTTTTAATTTTATAAATAATTTAAATGCTAAATCACTATTTATAGATTTTTTTTTAACCTAAGTGGCGTGTAAAATTAAATATATCAAATCTCATTCTATAATTTTGGTGTTTTTTTTATAACATATAACTTTATATAATATTTAGTTTTTAAAATAATTTAAAATTTTAATATTTAAAGATATATTTTAGTTTTTAAAAGAAAGATAATTTTTATTTTTTAAATATATTTGTTGTTTTTAATTATCTATGTGGACAAATTCTTAAATCTATCTCATAAGTCACTTTTGCTTTGGTGGCAAGTGATTTTTTAATTCTAAAATAAAATATACAAATCTAATTTTTAATTGGTCAAAATAATACTAATAATACCTTTGCTTATGTGGTGCGCCGAATGGTAAAAAAAATGTCTACTTTAAATATAGGTAAGAAATATTATTAAAAAATAATAATAAATAAAGCATGTATACCATTTAAACATAGAATCATCAACTTCGTTCACAACCATACCTACTACATCTAACTAGCAAAAGTGGATAAATAGAACACAAAAATGTTAGGATGTTAGCAAAAGTAAAATTGATATAAAATTAGTCTTTATAATTTTATAAAATAAATTTATATATTTATCAGGAAGAGAAAAATCGTTACGAAATTGATCTATTTCAATCAATCTTGGAAGAAAATGTTGAACAAAGTTGGCTTTAATTGACGCATGAACGTAATCACCCTATAATTAAAAATAATAAATTAAGTTAATTTAATAACTTAATTAAGCCATCTTAATCACAAAGTTTTTGTTTTTTTTTTTCATGAAATTAATTAATAAAAAACTACAAAGGTTTATAAACAAATTTAATAAATGTAAACAATTTATAAAAATATAATACCTCCTCGTCCAATAGGATCATATCCTAACTTATTAAGCTATATTGTTTGAAGAAGTTTTGTACGTTAGGTGAGAGACTCACACTTTGATTTTCTAATCACTTTTGCTTTTAATTCTTTAATCAAATTAGATCCATATGTAAAAACAAAATTTAATAAATAAACCATAAACATATAATTGTTA